GTGCCTTCGGCAGGGACTAAAGGGTTTGGGTTGCCTGAACCCTAAACCCTAAACCCTACACCCGAAACCCTAAACCCTAAACCCTAAACCCCCCAAGTCTAGCGCCGTAGCTGCCGGGCAGCGCCCGGAGATTTGCGACTTTTGGGATGGTTTCGGGGACAACTGTAGACTGTAGGTGTTATAAGGTTTCGGGTGCTGAGAGTTTTTAGTCGTATAGTTGCATTACGTACTCATCAAACCCTAAACCTGCAAACCCAGCACCCTAAACCCCACTCAGGAAGTGCATGGACCCCCGAAGGGGCTACTGCATAGTCCCCTCAGAATGTCTCAGTCTCTACGATATGGTCGCTTCTCTAAATCATGGTCCCTTGTCGGGGTCCTGCTTATAAGAGGCCCCTCTTATTTAGAGTACGTAGCGCAAAAAGGAACAAAACTTAGACAACTGACCATGCGGGTTACAGAGTCGCGCAAAAGGGACCGTATTTTGGAGAACTGACCAGATGGGTGTGTGGATTCTAAGCTCCTAAGCCCCCTTGGGGCTACATTCTTGGCAGGTAGCCCCCTTGGGGCTACATTCTTGGCAGGGAGTGCTGGGAGTTCGGTCCCCTAAAACCCTCAACCCTAAACCCCGGAACCCAGTAGGTAAGCCCTCAACCCTCAACCCTCAACCCTCAACCCTCCTCAACCCTCAACCCTCAACCCTCAACCCTAAACCCTAAACCCTAAACCCTAAACCCTAAACCCTAAACCCTAAACCCTAAACCCTAAGTTTCTTTCAACCAGGCCAAGGCCTCCGCGCCCTCGTTTTGGGATCGCTTCAGCTGCTGCGTGACGAAGCCGGGGGGAGGGGGGGGAGGAAAGGTCGGGTTTAGGGTTTAGGGTTTAGGGTTTAGGGTTTAGGGTTTAGGGTTTAGGGTCTAGGGTTTAGGGTTTAGGGTTTAGAGGGTATGGTTGAGAGTTTAGGGCTGCGTTGAGGGTGTCGGAGGTTAAGGGGGTCGAGGGTTTCGGATTTTTGGGGTGTTGGCGTTAAGGGTTGTGGGTTTTAGGTTGGGGTTTGAGGAAGGGATTATGGGGGCTGATCAAAAATCTACCATCTCTTTAACCCCTAAACCCTAAACCCTAAACCGTAAACCCTACACCTGAACTCGGCTCACGAAGTTCGCTCTGAGGAGCCCGTCAGCAACGCTGTGAACACAAGGGTTTAGGGTTTGGGGTTTGAGATTTGGGGTTTAGGGTTTAGGGTTTAGGGTGACAGACAAGAGGTTGTTTTACACAGTCGAGTTACGCCCAGGCAAACAACACCATAGCAAGGTTACCGTAAGCTGTGAATCTGGAGTAAATCTCGAACAGCATATCAGAGGTAACAACTTCAGCAGTTCGCCCGTAAGCAGTGTAACACCATCCCGATCTCAATTCCGAAATCGCACGATTTTGCCCCGTGTTGCGGGAGGGGGGGGGGGGTACCCTAGGCGTACTGCAATCGCTTGCAAATCAAGGTCGGCCATGTGATGTTAAAATTTGCAATATGCTGAGTGGGACTTTGCCAATGCTGAAACCTCATCCGGCCACACAATCCCTTTCCACAGTTGCGCCGGCCGCCTCTCCGTGAACAGTCGCAAGAGTTCCTGAGCCCTAAGCCCTAAGCCCTAAACCCTATCCTGTGAGGGTTAGGCTACGGAATTTAGGGTGTATTATAGGGTTTAGGGTTTAGGGTTTGGGTCTGGTGCGGTTTTCCTGTTTCAAGATCTTGCCGCTTCAGGGGCTTGAAGCGTTTCAGGTTTTAGGGCTTCGGGTTTAGGGTTTAGGGTTTAGGGTTTAGGGTTTAGGGTGGTTGTCTGTGCCACTGTGCCACCAGGCAAGATGAGAATGATGTGTGGGAGCCAAGGGACCGGTGTCAGGAGGTGGTGTGTGAGAGAACATCGAAACCCAGTACCCCTAAACCCTACAAACCTTGGGCCTAAACCCTGAAGTATGTTTAAAGCTGAAAGGCTGATTCCCCTCCCCCCCCCCCCCCCCCCCGCCTCGCCTCCGCCCTAAACCCTCAACACTAAATTCTCTGCGTAGGTTTACGAGGACCCAGAGTAGGCCCTTGTTCCCTTTTCTCAGGGTTTTCAACCCTAGATTTCCTTACAAGCCCCTTCAAAGCAAGAAGGACACCAGCCGCTCTAAACTCAACCCCAGGCCCCAAACGTCACACCTCAAACCCGAAACCCCAAGCCCTAAACCCCAAACCCCAAACCCCAAACCCCAAACCCGAACCCTAAACCCTAAACCCTAAACCCTAAACCCTAAACCCTAAACCCTAAACCCTAAACCCTAAACCCTAAACCCTAAACCCTAAACCCTAAACCCTAAACCCTAAACCCTAAACCCTAAACCCTAAACCCTAAACCCGAACCCCACCATCCCATACCCCAAACCCGCACTCGTCGCCCAGGCAGATGGATCAGCGGGCCCAATTCCGTACCACGCGGACGGAGGGAAGCTGGCGGTGGGGCTCCCCAGTTCGTTGCAATCTCCATGGGGGGGCCCCAGAGTGTCAGGGGCTTAGGGTTTAGGGTTTAGGGTTTAGGGTTAGGATTCAGGGTTGAGTGTTTAGGGTTTAGGATTCAGGGTTGAGGGTTTAGGAGTTAGGACTTAGGTTTTTTTTTGGGGTTGGGGGGGGGGGGGTTGGCCCTTAGAAGTCGGGACTCCAGTTGCTGTTGTTTGGGGGGGCGGGGGGCGAGTTAGGCACCATGCGGACGAGAGATCAGGGTTGAAGGGTTCAGGGTTGAGTGCTTTGAGGGGTTGCACTCAAAGTCGAGACCCTAAACCACCGCGGGCCTTAATCCCAGACGGACTACCGTGAGTGTAGCTTATAGGGTTTAGGGTTTAGGGATAGGGATAGGGTTTAGGGTTTAGGGTTTAGGGTTTAGGGTTTAGGGTTTAGGGTTTAGGGGTTAGGGTTTAGGGTTTAGTTCTTTCCCAGCCCCCCTCCCGACACCCCAAACCCTAAAACCCATCACCTTTCACAGCACATACCCTAAACCCTGCAACCCTAAACCCTAAACCCCAACCCCTAAACCCTGCAATGCTAAATCCTAGGATGAGGACCTGGTGGAAAAGCCGGAAACCGAGGCACACCTGTGCGGAGACGTCTAAAGCCGGCTTAGGGTTCAGGGTTTAGGGGTTTAGTGTTTGGGTTGGGTTAGGCGTTAGGGGTTTGTTTTTTTTCGGGGTCCCTAAAACCCTAAAAAACCGCAAGCCCCAAAACCCTTAGAGCCCATACACCCCGAACTCTGAAGCCTGAGGCCTTGAACCCAAAAACCCCCCAAAGACCCCCCAAATTTCCTAAATCCCTAGAAGCCCACACCCCCAATATCCCCGAATACGCAACCCTCAAACCTTCAAGCTATGAATGCCGACAGTCCTCGAGCCCAAGCCCCCAGACCTCATAAGGAACCTCAACCCTAAACCCGAAACCTTAAGGGAAGGGGGGTGTAGGGGCCCTCATTGCCCAAAATGCGGACCTTCGGAAAGCCTTGCCAAAGAAAAAAAAATGGGGCCCTCATGCCCCCCCCACCCCCTACACCCTCCCCACACACCCCCGGTTCCTTTGGGTTTTAGGGTTTAGGGTTTCGGGTTTAGGGTTTCTCTCTCCCTCCCTCTCTCTCTTCTCTCTCCTCTCTCTCTGTCTCTCTCTCTCTCTCTGTCTTTCTCTCCTCTCTCTCTCTCTCTCCCTGTCTCGCTGCGCGCTCTCTCTCTTAGCACTAAACACTAAAGTCTAAACGGTTCAGTTCAAGATGGTTTTGGGTACTGTTGGTTTGGGGCACAAGGGTATACCCTGCAGTAAGCCCTGCACCCTGTGAATCCCTCGGGGTTAGGATTATGAGTGCGGGTTGGGACGCGGGCTTGATGGCTTGGGGTTTGGGGGTGTTTAGGGGGCTTGGGGCAGCGTCCTGAAAACGCGATTCATCCTCGAAGCTCTGCCACCCTGAAGGTGCTGAAGCCCCAAGCTCTGAACCCTCGAGTTAAGCCCTATAAACCCTCAACCCCAGACCGTAAACCCTACACCTGAACCCTTCAACCCTTCAAGCCTCAAACCCTTGAACCCTTTCAACCCTTACACCCTAAACCCTTAAACCTTAAACTCGAAACCCCATGCCGACTTAAAGGGCGCAAGGGCGCACGAGTGTGGCGCGCGTGTGCAGGTCGAAGCTGGAGCGAAGTGCGCAGGGCCGTGACGACGGGCTTTACTTTAGGGCTTTAGGGTTTGGGGTTTAGGGTTTGGGGTTTGGGGTTTAGGGTTTAATTTAAGCGCAGCCAAGAAATCCTAAGCTCTGCTCCCAAGCGCTTCAAAGTGAGAACGCCCAAGCAGAAGTAGGCCCTAAACGGCAAGAGGTCCGGAGCAACCCCAAACCCCAAAACCCCAAAACCCCAAAACCCCGAAACCCCAAAACCCCGAAACCCCGAAACCCCAAAACCCCAAGCCCTAAGCCCTAAACCACACCCGTCAGGGTCTAGGGCTTGAGGATCCTTAAACCCTAAACCCTAAACCCTAAACCCTAAACCCTAAACCCTAAACCTTGAACTGAAGCCCTGGGTTTAGGGCTCAGGCGGGCTTGAAGAGGTAGGGCCCTCCTTCGCTTCTCCCCCCAAATCACCCAAGCGCCCAAGCCCTAAAGCCCCAAACCTGAAAATCTCGAGCTCAAAGCCTTAAACTCCAAACCCTAAACCCCAAACCCCAAACCCTAAAACCCCAAACCCTGAACCCCAAACCCTAAACCCCAAACCTAAACGCAAAACCCTAACCCCCAAACCTGAACGCAAAACCCTAAACCCTAAACCCTAAACCCTAAACCCTAAACCCTAAACCCTAAACCCTAAACCCTAAACCCTAAACCCTAAACCCTAAACCCTAAACCCCAAACCCCAAACCCCAAACCCCAAACCCCAAACCCCCAACCCGCCCCATCCGCGGAGGTACAAGGGCCAGTGGAAGGGAAACCAATGCCACGGACATGGCATCCTCACTCGCCCCGACGGCTCTTCGTATGAAGGAAGCTTCCAAGGCCCGAGATTTTGGGGGTTTAGGGTTTAGGGCTAGGGTTTAGGGTTTAGGGTTTAGGGTTTAGGGTTTAGGGTTTAGGGTTTAGGGTTTAGGGTTTAGGGTTTAGGGTTTAGGGTTTAGGGTTTAGGGGTTTAGGGCTTGAAGCCCTAAGCCCAAGCAGGGTTCTGGGGTTTAGGCTTTCGGGCTTAGAGGGCTGAGGATTTACAGCCTTATAAACCCTCTCGCCAACCCTAAACCCTAAGCCCTAAACCCTAAACCCTAAACCCTAAACCCTAAACCCTAAACCCTAAACCCTAAACCCTAAACCCTAAACCCTAAACCCTAAACCCTAAACCCTAAGACCCTAAACCCTAAACCCTAAACCCTAAACCCTAAACCCTAAACCCTAAACCCTAAACCCTAAACCCTAAACCCTAAACCTTGATCAAAGCCTTCTGTGGGTGACTTAGTTCGGGAATAGTCTTTAAGTGGCACGACATGACTGAGAGAATATTCCCGGATGAAGGGGTATGGGAGCCTCTGGGAAAGAAGCTATACCCCAAAGGCCCTAAACCCTAGACCCTGAAAGCCCTGAACCCTATACCCTAAAAACCCTAAACCCTAACTCCTGAAACCTTAAACCCTGTACACCAACACTCTGCACCCTAAACCCTATTTGTTTCATTTTGGCGGTCGTTCTTCCTTGCGCCCTGCGGGCCAATTCTTGGGAGGACACGGGTATGCATGGGGTAACTCAAGGGTTTAGGGTTTAGGGTTTAGGGTCTTGCGCGAGAGCTGAAGTTTGGCTCGTTTCTTTCGGATACTCGGCAGGGGGCGTTCCTCGAGGAATTGTCTCAGCTCTCTGCATGAGGGACCCTGCGAAGCATTGTCGGGCTAGAGGGACTGACCCGTCGGTGCGAGATAAACCCTAAACCCTAAACCCTAAACCCAAAACCCTAAACCCTAAACCCTAAACCCTACACCCTAAACCCTAAACCCTACACCCTACACCCTACACCCTACACCCTAAGCCAACTGAGAGAGGTGGGAGAGCGCATGGCTTTGGGAAGTTCGTGGCGGCCAATGGAAACATCTACGAAGGCGAATGGTTCCAGGCCCGTTTGGGGATCAAGTCGAGTCAAAAGCCCGAAAGGGACCTCAGCCTACATTTAGGGTTTCGGTGCTAGCCTAAGCGCTTTTGTGTATTGAGTCCTACCTGGAGAACCCCTTAAGCTCTGGCTCTTTTTACTGCAACCTTAGATCCCTATAGCCCTTCGTTTCGGGCTAAGCTACATGGGTTTGTAGGGTTTATAGGGTTTTAGGGTTCATAGGGTTTGTAGGGTTTTGAGGTTTTAGAGGGTTTGGAGGGTCTAGGGTGTCTCTTGATAAGAGTTGATGGTGTCAGCCAGGGGGCTCGGGCACTTTTTTCCCACCCTGGACCTTAAACCCTAAACCCTCAACCCTGAACCCTGAACCCCAAACCCTAAACCCCCCCCCCGCCGCCCCTACCCGCAGAACCCCCCCCCCCCCAAAAAAAAAAAAAAAAAACAAGGCCAAAAAAAAAACACCCGGGCCAGCCAGGTGCCAAGGCGTGCAGCTAATGCAACTACACAACTGCTACATTTTTGCAAGCTACGCAAGTTTCGACTTGCCGCGAGGACCGTGCCCAAGGCCAGGGAAAGTATGCCGGGGGCCAAAGACAGCTTCGCTTGAAGGCTTTTTGGGTTCCAAGGTTCTTTGGGATCTTATGGCTGAGAATGTAGGGTTTAGGGATTAGTAGGGTTTGGGGCTTGGGACAGAGGGCCCTGGGCACAGGGCACAGGGCTTACGGCTTAGGGTTTTGTAGGCATTGTGGGTGTAGGGTTACCCTAAATAGTAAACCCTAAACCCTAAACCCTAAAGAACCCTAAACCCTAAGTGTAGGGTTTGGGGCTGAGGGTTCTTTAGGGTTCTTTCGTGCTTCTAGGGAAACACTGTGGTTCACGGGGGCCCCTGGGTCCAGAATGCTTCAAGAGTTTAGGGTTTAGGGTTTAGGGTTTAGGGTTTAGGGTTTAGGGTTCAGGGGTCCTAGGTAGGATTTGCATCCGCCGGGTGCGGAATGCAGTGCTTTGTGCACACGACGACCGAGGGATGTGGCCGTGGCTGTTCATGGGCGGCTTTGACTCGAGCTTTGACAGGCCAAGGCCCCCCCCCCCCCCCACTTGGGATGTTCCCCCTTATACGAACAGTCCTTAGTAGGGATTTGTAGTACCCTTCTAGTTAAGGACTGTTAGTAGAAGGGGGAACATCCCAACCCCCTCCACTATGGTGCGATGGCCCTGGAGCAGTGAGCTACGTTCCGTGGAGTCGGCTCCCGTGACCGAACTGGTGTGTTTCACGATGTTCGGAGCCTCAGCTACATGCTTGCCTATCGCTTGCTGTGGCCGCCCCATGCAGAGCGCGCCAGGAACCAGGCGCCCATGGCAAAGCCATGAGCTACCAAAGGCTGTCAAAGAAGCGTAGCTGGGCATAACTCAATCAGCCCTTTGATTTCCCCCCCTCCCCCTCCCTCAATGCCCTTCTTCGTTTCTGATCTAATCTTGCCAAGAAGAATGTTCTCAGGAAGGTAACCCGAAACCCTGAACCCTCATCCTGATACCTGAAGCTGCACTGCCCAACCCTGGTCTGCGCCCTCAAACCCCCCACGCTATCCCGACAGCCAAAGAAAAGGGTTTAGGGTTCAGGCCCATATTCCCTGCAACCCTTGCAATTAAACCCTAAACTCTAATCCTTGTTTTTCAACCCTGAACCTTAAACCCTAAACCATACACCCTACACCCTAAACCCTAAACCCGAAACCCTCCTCCAACCCCCCCCCCGCCCCCCCCTCCTCCTGTCTGCTTCTTGCCGGCTCTCAGACGCATGAAGATGGCAGCACCTACGTGGGGCAGTGGCTCCAGGACCGCTCTCCCAGGGTTAGGGCTTCTGGTTTATAGTTTCGAACAAACTCCTAACCCTTAAACTCCCTATGAAGAGTTCAGGGCCTTCCCTTCATGATTCCTAAACTCGACTAGAGTGATAGAGATCTTCCAAGACAGTTTGGCCCTGAATGCACCCCCCCCGCCCAAATCGTATAGTCCTGATTATCGGAACCTTAAAAGGGTACAGTACTCCTAAACCCTAAACCCTAAACCCTAAACCCTAAACCCTAAACCCTAAACCCTAAACCCTAAACCCTAGACCCTAGACCCTAGACCCTAAACCCTAAACCCTAAACCCTAAACTCCTTGACCCCACTTTCGACACCCTAAACCCGAAGCCAGGGATCCAAGAAACCTTTTCTCTTTAGGGGGCACAGTTTAGGGTTTAGGGTTTAGGGTTTAGGGTTTAGGGTTTAGGGTTTAGGGTCTGGGGTTTAGGGTTTAGGGTTTAGGGTTTAGGGTGTTTTTTCTTCCTGGGGAGTTGCCAGGGGTAACAGCCACAGAGCACCCAACCCCGGGGCAAGTATGGCCTTTGAATCTTAAGCTCTAAACCCCAAGCCAAACCCCAAACCCCAAACCCCGAACCCTAAACCTCCAAGACCCTAAACCCTAAAGTAGAGTTGCTGCTTTAGGGATGGGATTGTTGGGTCTAGGGTTTATGGGTCCAGGATGAGTTTTAGGGAAAAACAGTGTTGAGTTTGAGGATTAAGGCTTAGGGCTTAGGGTTTAGGGTTTAGGGTTTGGGGTTTAGGGTTTAGGGTTTAGGTTTAGGGGCAACCCTAATACCACCCTAAACCCTCGAACCCGGAGGCTTTTAGGGATCGGGCAAACCCTAAACCCTAAACCCTAAACCCTAAACCCTAAACCCTAAACCCTAAACCCTAAACCCTAAACCCTAAACCCTAAACCCTAAACCCTAAACCCTAAACCCTATTCAGGACGAGAAGGCGGGACGGGGCATTGAGCGATGGGCTGATGGCCGGGCACTCAGAGCGCGTGGAGCCACAAGGACCAAGAAGGGGTGTAATAGATGGGTTTAGGGTTTAGGGTTTAGGGTTTAGGGTTTAGGGTTTAGGGTTTAGGGTTTAGGGTTTAGGGTTTAGGGTTTAGGGTGTAGGGTGTAGGGTTAGGGCTTAGGGTTTAGGGGTTCTCTGAGGGCAGTTACATGCTCCCTTAACAAGGTCCCTTGCCTCGCCTCAGATGTAAGGACCGGGCGTCACGTGCCGGTATTCTTAAAGAAGACCTGTCCAATACGTCCTGAATAAGAGAACCAAGGCGCCTTGCGCCCTCCCTTACGCACCCCCCCCTTTGGCTCCCTATGCCCAGTGGCCCCTAGACTCCTAGACTCGCAGAAGAGTTTGGGAGTTTGGGGCTTAGGGGTTCAGTACACAAGTCCACTCTCCTTGTGGGTGGTGGGATTCATGGTTTAGAGCTTACATTGCAGAGTTCCGCGGCTTGGGGTTGGCCCCAACCCTACACCCTAAACCCCTACTGAAGCCCTAAAATCCTAAACCATCAAAATGCCTGAACCTCCCAAACAGTCCTTAAGCAGTTTCCCAGCCCAGGGTACAGTCTTTTCGCGTTCAGGGTTTAGGGTTCAGGGTTTAGTGTTTAGGGTTAGGGGGTTCGGGGCGTATAAAGTAAGCTTTTGGCGTTTTTCGCAGATGGGAATTTCAGAAAGCTGACGCCACAGAACTGAAACCTCAGCCCGCACCCTGAGCCCATAGATCCTAAAGCTTAAGCTCCATGAGAATTAGCGTTTGGGGCATAAGTTCTAGGTGCACATATACATATATACCCTTAACCCTACATGCTAAACCCAGCACGAAGCTCCAAGCCCCAACACCTGAAACATTGGAGAAACAGTCCAAAACCCGATTTCCTCCATCACGTAAACCCTACTTCCAGGTTCAGGAGGCGGCTGTAGGTCCTTGGATCCGAGATGATATATCAGGTTCGAACCCGGACAAACCCTGCAGCCCAAGCACTACTTGCAGGTTTAGGGTTTAGGGTTTAGGGTTTAGGGTTTAGGGTTTAGGGTTAGCACCAAGCAGGCTCTCAGTATGACGGCGACTTCCTGCAAGGGAGCAAGCACGGCCGGCGACCTAGTGCCTAGGTTTTGGGCGCCTCAGATGAGTGGAACAAATCTCCTCCCCCCTAAAGCCTAAATCCTAACCCTAAAGCCCCAAACCCCAAAGTAAACCCCATAAAGTTGGAAAATCTTTGTAAGGACAAATAGTGCTGGGATTCCCTATACTTTACTCCTAGGGATTGAGGCTATTGAGTTTCCAACTTTTTGGCCTTCTACAACCCTAAGCCCTGAACCTGGTCCTTAAACCCTAAACCCTAAACCCTAAACCCTAAGCCCTAAGCCCTAAGCCCTAAGCCCTAAGCCCTAAGCCCTAAGCCCTAAGCCCTAAGCCCTAAGCCCTAAGCCCTAGGCCCTAAGCCCTAAGCCCAAGACCCTAAACCCTAAGCCCTGAACCTGGCTATCTTCAGTTTCTAGGGTTTCTATTTCTAGGGCCTCTAGGGGTTGCGGGGTTGCTTAGGGTTTGGTCTTCTGGATTCCTAAGCCCTATATACACCCTAAAACCCCTGAAACATCCTTAAGCCCTAAACCCTTTGCAGGTCCTGAGGGGAGGGTTTAGGGTTTGACCTATAACTGTTACCCTAAGCCCTAAAGCCCTCAAACCTCGTAAACCCGCCCACGTGGCTGGGGCGAAATGGCAGCCGCTGCAAAGGAGAGATGGCCTATCTCCTTGAAGAGACAGCTAGGGTTTAGGGTTTAGGGTTTAGGAGCAGGTTTCTTATTTTTTGTCTTCTGGTTTAAGCACGCACTACACCCTAAACCCTAAACCCTAAACCCTAAACCCTAAACCCTAAACCTTAAACCCTAAACCCTAAACCCTAAACCCTAGACCCTGCCTTGGCTGGCAACGATCGCAAGGCTATGGCGTGTACAAAGCTGCCAATGGAAACATCGTCTACGAGGCCCCTCGGAAGCCCTAAACCACCTCAGGGTTTAGGGTTTAGGGTTTGGGGTTTAGGGGTTTAGGGTTTAGGGTTTGGGGTTTAGGGGTTTAGGGTTTAGGGTTTGGGGTTTGGGGTTTAGGGTTTAGGGTTTGGGGTTTAGGGTTTAGGGTTTAGGGTTTAGGGTTTAGGGTTTAATTGGGGTTTGCAATTTAGGGTTTAGGGTTGGCCCTGGGCAGTCCAGGTCCCGTGTTGGGGTTTAGGGTTTCGGGTTTAGGGTTTCGGTTCAGGCCCTGAAAACAAGAATGCAACGAGGTTGGTGTGCAGGACTGTTTGCGAGGTGGTGTTGGGTTTTTCTAAACCCTAAACCCTAAACCCTCAAGCCTCAACCCTAAACCCTCAACCCTCAACCCTCAACCCTCAACCCTCAACCCTCAACCCTAAACCCTAAACCCTAAACCCTAAACCCTAAACCCTAAACCCTAAACCCTAAACCCTCCCCCTTCTATTGGTGCGGGGCTCCCGCCTGCTCCCTCCAACCAAAGAATTCCATCGGAATGAATGAAGGGTTTAGGGTTTATTGTTTAGGGTTTAGAGTATAGCGTGTGGCCTTAGTAAGTAAGACGCACTACAGGACCCTAAACCCCAAACCCTAAACCCTAACCCTAAACCCTAAACCCTAAACCCTAAACCCTAAACCCTAAACCCTAAACTCCAAACCCTAGCTTAGGGGGGCCTTCGACTGGGGAGCTCTTAGTGAGTGATGAAGAACATGTTGGGGAAGAGTTCTGGGTTTCGGTTCGCAAGGGTTCGGGTTAGACCACCACTCATGGACAACAGTCATGGACAACAGAGGGTTTAGGGTTTAGGGTCTAGGGTTTAGGGTTTAGGGTTGCAAAAGGGATTTAGTGGTTAGGGGTTTCGGGTTTAGGCTTTTGAAGGCCCCGAACAGCGATGATTACTCCGACTACCCTGTCTAGGGTTTTCTTTGTCATCGTGGGGAAACATTTTACATGTTTAAGGGTACTTAAACTCAACAAGGAATAGAATTTTTTTGCTATCCCAACCATGAACTGTTTAGGGTTTAGGGTTTCTAGGGTTTAGCCTTTCTTCAGATGATGCTTGGTTCCTCGAGGCCCAAGAAAGCCTTTTGTTAGTGAGGTCTCGTACAAGGCTCCTTGCTTTGGTCCCTCAACTTCCGAGCCCGCTTGTAGATAACCTACCTGTTTTGTGTTTTTTCCTGGATTTCCCTACTACCCTCGATACTACCTCCCCCTTAAATAACCTTACTTAAGCTTACCTATCCCTATTAAGCTTACCTATCCCTAAATAGCCTTAGTTATGGGGGGAACCTAGGGGGGGGGGTAGCATACAGGGAATACAGGAGGGAAACCCATGATGCCTTTGTTGCTTCTCAGAGGACTCTATGTAGGACTGTTCCCTAAGCCCTAAACCCTAAACCCTAAAACCCTGTTGTTTAATAAAAGGGGTTGTTAAAGGGCCGGGCCTTTCTAGCAGCTTTCTACTGCACAGGATGCCTGAGCCAGGAATGCGATTGTGAAGAGCTCCGTGGACTCGAACCCCGAAACCATAGCCCTAAACCCTAAACCCCTAAACCCCTAAACCCCTAAACCCCTAAACCCCTAAACCCCTAAACCCCTAAACCCCTAAACCCCTAAACCCCTAAACCCCTAAACCCCTAAACCCCTAAACCCCTAAACCCCTAAACCCCTAAACCCCCTAAACCCCCAAACCACCAAACCCCCAAACCCCCAAACCCCCAAACCCCCAAACCCCTAAACCCCTAAAGCCCTAAACCCCTAAACCCCTAAACCCCTAAACCCCTAAACCCCTAAGCTCCTAAACCCCTAAACCCCTAAACCCCTAAACCCCTAAACCCCTAAACCCCTAAACCCCTAAACCCCTAAACCCCTAAACCCCTAAACCCCTAAACCCCAAGCCCCAGTTTCTGCAGGGCTTCCAGGTAGGTTTCATCATCCTAACCCGCAAACCTAGACCCTAAACCCCTGACCCACCAAACCCGACAACCCCAAACCCTAAACCCTAATGTAATCCCTCCCTAAACGAAAAAACCAAACCTCACCTGCTGCCCTCGCGGTCCAAAGAATTTTACAGTTGTTGCCGCAGTGTCGTTGAAATTTCAGAAGAGCTAAAGGGCGTCATTCTTTGGGGTTAGGCTTAAGGGTTCAGGGTTTAAGGGGTTTAGGGTTCTGTGGGCCCCCGTTTCCCTGAAACCCGATACCCTAAAGCCTGCAGATCCTCAGCCCCGTACACAAAGCCCAACCCACTAAGTGAAGCCCTAAACCCTAAACCCTAAATCCTGAACCCTAAACCCTAAACCCTAAACCCTAAATCCTAAACCCTAAACCCTCAAGCGGGCCACGCTCATCATTTCGGGGAGGGCGCACCACGTAGCGACGCCTCTTCCCATGAAGACCCATGGGCCACCTTTGGGGGGCTCGCGGTCCCTACCTCCGGAGACCTGGCCGCAAAAGGAGGTTTAGGGTTCAGGGTTTAGGGTTTGGGGTTTAGGGTTTAGGATTTGGGGTCTGGGGTTCGGGGTTTTGGGGGTTTAGGGTGAATTCGGGGTTTGGGGGGTTTAGGGGGTTTGGGGGGTTTAGGGGGCTTCGGTGGTTTAGGTGATTTCGGGGGTTTGGGGGGTTTAGGAGGTTTAGGGGGTTGAGGTCTTCGGGTTTGGAGTTGGTTAAGTTTCGGGGATTATAGGGTTCAGGGGGTTTGGGGTTTTGTAGGGTTTACACGTGTTGGGGTCTGGCTTTGTGAGTTTGTAGGGGTTTAGGGTTTGTAGGTTCTTAAGGTTTAAGCGCATCAAGTACCCAAAAGGGTTGTCGCTTCATGTGCTCCAGAGTCGTGGCCTCTATGTTAAGGCGACTCTTTAAGTGGGCCCCTTAAGTTAACTATATTGCTTCCCTTAGAATTCCCGGCAAGTCTGGTAGAAGCCATTATATTACGCAAATGGGGGTTTGGAAACATAATACTACGCAAATGGGGGTTTGCGAAAATAGGGGACACCCAATGTAGATCCCCAAATAGTAGGACCCAAGAAGGTACCCCTAACATCGTAAACCCCCACATTGTGCTCAACCCTAATTGAACCCTAAGCCCTAAACTCTAATTAGTAGGCCCGGATATTCGGGCTGGCGTGTTTTCGGAGGACATGGCGGCCCTTCGGAGGAAGCGCGCGACATCGTTGGGACACAGCAGCACCTTTGGCTTATAAGGGCTTGTTCAAGCAGTTTCGCTTTTTTCAGGATGTAGGGGTTCATTCAAGATTTGGTCTATTGATATGCGATACGTTGGGCTCGAGCTTTTTGACTTGTGTGTTGTGTGTGGGCGATTTTGTTGGGGGAGTGGGGGGGGGGGGGGGGGGGGCTGGGGTTCGGTGCTTGGTTTTCTGTGTTGGTGTGGAGCTTTTGGGTTGAGTTAGGGCTAGGTGTCAGAGTTTATGGCTCGCTTCGCTCGGCAGAAAGCTAATCGGCAACGGGGAGCTGGCGAAACTGCTGCCCTCGTCCCAACGAACGTGCTGCGCGCGCGGTACGAAGGATTGTGCTTTGTCAGCTATAAGGACATGCTGCCCTGGCCTTGCGTTGTTAACAGGTTAACGTGTTTGACTGCCATGTTCACAGCTTTGTTCACACATGTTTGACCAGTGCCCATACACTAGCCCCTTCACTAAAGTGCGGGATGGTGCAGTTGTCACGTACTCCTAAACCCTAAACCCTGGACCCGCTAGACATAAGCGTCCAGGGCTAGATTGGGCTTAAACCCCTGAATTCTTGACCCCCAAACTAAGCTCTAAGCCCCCAAACCGTCAACCCCTCAACCCCCAAACTCAACTCCTGCACCCTAAGCCTGAACCCCAGGCTCAGAACCCTAAATCCACAACCCCAAAAAGCCCTAACCCTAACTGCTGAACGCTACACCCTGAAATCACCAATAAAGCAACCCAAAGGGTTTATGTACCTGACATGGTATGTACTTGCACCTGAATGGGGGTTCCCAAATACTAGCCTACTTTAGCATACCCTGCACCCTAAACCCGAAACCCTAAACCCTAAACCCTAAGCCTAAACCCTAAACCCTAAACCCTAAACCCTAAACCCTAAACCCTAAACCCTAAACCCTAAACCCTAAACCCTAAACCCTAAACCCTTAGGCGCATGTTCTTGGGCTCACTGCGACAGCTCAGAGGTTCCCCAGCAGCTCGCCTACCGGTGGCGGGGACACTCGCGCCACGGACGGCAGATATGTTTGGGGTTTAGGGTTTAGGGTTTAGGGCTTGGGGTTTAGGGTTGGGAGTTGCGGGTTCTGGGGTTTGGGCTTCGGGGGTTTGGGGTTCGGGGGTTGAGGGTTGAGGGTTTAAGGGTTTCGGGGGTTTGGGCTTGAGGGTTTAGGGTTGCGGAGTTCAGGGTTCGGGTTTTGTTAGGGGGCTCTGGGGGGGTTGAGAGTTTAGGTTTGAGTGTTTTTTTTGTTTAGGGTTTTTTAGGGTTTTGGGGTTTCGTGTTTTAGGGTTCAGGGATGTGGGGCTGAGGATTTTGAGGTTTAGGGTCCTTGGTAGGATAAAGGGGGCCCGAAGCCCTTCTTAACCCTCTTCTGGCTCTTAAGCGGGGACCTTACTCAGAGGGTCTATACCCTGCACCCTAAACCCTAAACCCTAAACCCCAAACCCTAAACCCTAAACCCAAAAATTCCCCCTAATCCTATCACCTATAGGGGGTCTTGGGGTTGCGGCTGAGCGGCCTCGTAGTACGTTCTGGCCTCGATCATCTTCGCCGGACTGCATTAACCTTCGCTGGACCGCTTCAGGGTTTCAGGGTTTAGGGTTTAGGGTTTAGGGTTTAGGGTTTGTGGCCAAAGTGTAGGGGTCGAAGGTTCTTGTCGTGATTCAGAGACACTTCGGTTCTTCTTTCAACAAGATGCGGAAGACTTGGAACATGTGGGGTTTAGGGTTTAATTAGGGTTTAGGGTTTTTCAACAAGAGA